GAAAGTTTCATGAATTTGTTCAACATGTCCTTACATAAGGGTTTAGTTAACACGTCTGCTATGTTTCTGCATCTCTCAATGTAGTCTATTTTGATTATGTCTTTGGCCAATAAATCCTTTATGTAGTGAGTTCTTATATCAATGTGTTACTTCTTTTGGAGTTTTCAAAAGTTTTGGCCATGCAGATAGCACTCTTGTTGTCCACTAGCAAAGTTGTGTCTTGAAATGATGAAAAGTCCTTATTTATTTCCTTCAGATGAACTAGGTCTTGTATAGAAGCAGCAGCTGCTACATATTCTGCTTCTGCAGTCGAAAGAGAAACACATCCCTGTTTCTTAGAAAACCAAGACACTGCATTTGATCCATGTAGTACTATGTTTTCACTTGTACTTTTTCTGTCAATTTTATCTCTGGCCCAGTCAGAGTCTGAATATGAAATCAAATTGTTGGATGATAATGTATATATCAGTCCAATATCTTTGGTTGCCATCAAATATCTCACTATTCGTTTCGCAGCTTTCCAAGTTGCTTGAGTGGGTTTATCCAGAGCTCTACTCAAGTACGACACTGGGAACATTATGTCTGGTCTTGTGATAGTTGCTACATATAATAGACTTCCTATCAATTGACGATAAGGAACTTTTATATCTTCTTGATTTTGTTCAGCTTGAAAGTTTAGTTCCATAGGTGTATCCACTCTTTTGCATTCTATCATATTGAACTTTTCTAAAATTCTGTTAATGAACTTTGTTTGTTTGATCATTAACTTGTCACTTTCTCTTGATATTTCCATTCCCAAGAAATTTGTCACTTTTCCAAGATCTTTGGCATTAAATTCTTGTTTGAATATTTCTATTACTTTATCAATATTGTCTCTTTTTCCAGTAATCAGTAGATCATCTACATACAACACTATCCATGTATTATCATTTATATATAAACATGAGTCATTTAGAGATCTTGTGAAGTTGTATTTACTAGCTATTTCATTGAATTTATTGTTCCAAGTTTTTGGTGATTCTCTTAATCCATATAGAGCTTTATTTAGTTTGAATATTTTTCCATTTTCTTGATTCACTCCTTGTGGTGCATGTAAATGTCTGATTCAATATTTCCATTTAAAAATGCTGTTGGAATGTCCATTTGATTCACTTCCCAGTTTTTGTTTGTTGCATGAGAGAGTAACATTCTTATTGTTGACATTCTAGCAACTGGAGCGTGCATAATATCAGATGATTCTTCCATTTGGAATCCTTTTGCTACTAAGCGAGCCTTTCTGGTTCCATCCTCTTTGGTTCTGAAAATCCATTTTGTATCAATTGGTTTGATATTTGATTTTTCTCCTAATTTTATTGAAGACCATGTTTTCAATTCTTCATGAGATAGAATTTCTTTATCAATAGCTTCTTTCCATTCTTTTTGCCTAATTGCTTGATTGTAAGAAACTGGATCTTCACCATTTGTAAACAAGCAATATACTGAATATAGTTCATAATCTTCTTGATACTTTGGTGGTTTGATTATTCGACCCGATCTTGTAGTTACACTTTCTTCTTTGTCTGATTGTTCCGATGTTTGAGGGATTTCTTCATCATCTTGAGATTCAGTTATTATTCTTTTAGGTTCTGTTTGGTCTGAGATGATTTCCTTATCAAATTTAGTTAATGTTTCATCAAATGTTACATTTGTTGAAATCATTACTTTATCAGTTTCCGGATCCCAGATGCGATATCCGCTTCCACTGTATCCAACCATGATTGTTGATTTTGCTCTAGCATCTAGTTTTCTTGGTTTGGGTAGAATTAGTCTCCAAGCTCTTGAGCCAAAAACCTTAAGTTTAGATAGGTCATTTCGTTTATACCATATGCTAGCCGGAGGTATTCCTTTGTTCGCACTTGTTGGACTTCTGTTTAATTCGTATGCTGAGCAGTAAATGGCTTCTACCCAGAGATATTTTGGTAGATTTGTTTCTGCCAACTTTGTTCTCACTTTATCAATCAATGTTCGGTTCATTCTTTCAGATGTGCCATTTTGTTGAGATGTGTAAGGTGAGGTATATTCTATTTGAATACCGTTTGTTCTGCAAAACTGCTTGAAGTTTCCAGATGAAAATTCCTTACCATTATCTACTCTAATTTTTCTTGTTTTCTTGTTATGTTGAGTTTTTATCAACTTGATAAAATCAATTATGTTCTGTTCGGCTTCACTTTTTGATTTGAGAAGTCTCACTACTACAAAGTGTGAGTAGTCATCTATTAGTACCTGAAAATATATTTCTCCATCATATGTTGGTGGATCAATTGGTCCTGATAAGTCTGAATGAATCAGCTCTCCAATTTCCTTTGTTGTCTTCCAGGTTTTCTCAAATGATCTTCTTGTGCTTTTTCCTTTGATACAGGTTTCACATTTCTCTTGTGAACTTGGTAGCCCTAATTTCTTTAAACTGTATCTATTCAGATGTCCCAATCTTCTGTGCCACAATGTGTCATCGGTTTTGACTGCATGCGCTGTAACACTTTCAGGGTTACTGTCTATTTCTATTTTAAGTGAGTACAAGTTTCTATAATTATTACACTTAAAATTATGGTTTCTTGTAATTATAATTACTTCATCTTGTTTAAATATCACTTGGTGGCCCTGTTGTGTAATTTTTCCTACTGACAATAAGTTCTGTTTAATGCCATCAACTATTAGCCCATGAATTGCTATTGGGATATTATTGATTTTTATATTTAAAGTTCCACTTTTATTAGCTGACATCTTTTCACCATTAGCCATATGAATTTCAACCTTATGTTCTAAAATCTTCACATCTGTCATATATTTTTCTAATTCACTTTTGATCAGGTTTTGTGTTGCTCCTGAGTCTAAAATAAAATGTTCATTTTCATAGTAATCTATAGCATTCGTTGCTACAAATGATAGTTTGCCATCCATCTGATAGGCTTGTTGTCTAGGTTGACTCTCTCTTTGTCTTTCATTTCTCTCTTTTTGTGTTTGATTCTTTTCTCTTTTGAAAAATTTATTTTCACTTCTACATTCTGTAGCCTTGTGACCTTTCTTGCCACAATTATAACATGTAAATGTGGATAATTCAAATGTCATTTCTTCATTCCTAGGTTCCCCTTGTTTATTTTTCCTTTTGAGTTCTTCATCCAGCAATCTTGCCTTAACAAATTCCATTTTGATTTCAGTATTTATTGTTTCTATTGCTGTGATTACATTTTCATACTCTTCATTCAATGACAACAACAGATGACATATTTTGTCAGATTCATCCATTTTGGAACCTATATTATCCAATTCACGAATTATAGAATCAAATTTAAGAAAATGGTCCTCTAATTTTTCATTATGTTTGGATTTTAAAGTCAACAACTTTCTTTTTAGTGTTAGTTTTGTAAACACGCTTTTTCTTTCAAATATATTTTCGAGCACTTTCATCATTTCTTTAGCTGTTTTTGCATCTTTAATTATGTCTAGATGTTTATCAGTTAAATATTGAACGAGCGTAGATTTTGCCTTTGCATCTTTAATTGCAAATAACTCGCGTTCTTTTTCATCGACAAAATCATTAATTTCCATTTCTAATGTTAGATGTATTTGTTTTTCTTCTAACAATAGTTTAACTCTAAATTTCCAGCCGTTGAAATTTGTACCAGTCAAAATTGGCAAATTAGAATTAATTACGCTCATTTTAAAATATATTCAAAGTTGTACTTACTAAACACGTTCTTGATATTTCTTTGTTATTATTTAAACTTCAGTCTCATAATCTGTTATTTTGTAGTTTATTTAACACATTAATATACTACAAATTAAGATGATATCTTATTTTATTATCTTTACCAAGATTACAAACATATTAATTAGAGAATTATTTACAACACACTAAAAGGTAAACATTAGGGCTATACACATTCCTTTGTTCTGTACTGCCAGGGTTGCTGAAACACATTTATTTTAACAAGTGCTTTATATATATTCCGCTTTATGCGTCCATCAGTACTCAAAAATAACCCATTGTGGTTAGCAGCCCCATAAATAAATAATTTACGATTTACATATTGATCAAAAGTATTCCTAATTCGAATACATGTTTATAAAATTGGATACGTTTCTTTGAAACTATACTATCAATAATAACGAAAAAAATGCTAGGAATTTCAAAATTATAAATCAAACAATAATGGTTTGGAGTTTTAACCAAATCGGTATAATTATTTCGAATAAAGGCGAACAAAGTCGATGTATTAGTCAAGTTTAACTGAATATGAATTTACAATGCCTTAGCTGTAAATGTAGATACATCAGGGTGTCAGACTTGTAACTGCTGTTGACAACAATACAATGGCTACTGCAGGTGTTGTGTATATCTAATGTCAAACATCTGTAGTTCTTGAGGTAGATTGAGCCACGTAGATGACCCGGATGTAGGTGACGCTGTTAACCACTCTGTGTCCAGAATGTCAACTGTCAGCATGATACTGCTACTGGTCCTCCCTATCCTGGCTGGAGGTTGGTCGGTTTCTCCACTCTTCTCGTTTCTTTTTTGCTTTATAGCTAGCGGATTCTGGTCTTGTTATAATTCAGTAGTTGGATAATAGCAAAATATAACGCGATTGGAGAAAAGTGTCTTATGTTAACTTTTGTTCGCAAGCTTTCGGACGCATGCGTCCTTCTACAGGCTTTACAAGGATAAAATTTTGTCATTGTACTGGTCCTCTCTATCCTAGCTGGAGGTTGGTTGGTTTCTCCACTCTTCTCAGTTCTTCTTTGATTCATATTTAGCTCATGCTGGTCTTGTTATAATCACATATTTGAATTTTATACAATATAATGCGTTTATGATTGTAGAACGACATTTGAAAATATCCCGCATGTGTTTCTTTTGAACGAAAAATCGAAATTTATTTTAAGGAGAAATAACGATTATTTCTAACCTTAGGGATGAAGTATGAAAGGATGAATTGTGAAATGATAAACGGAAAAATAAAAGTGTCCAGGGATGGGAATCGAACCCACGGTGTTCCGCTTACCAGGCAGATGCCACCCGGGCTACCCTGGATATATTTTTCCTTTCGTAAATATTATATACTAGCCGAATGACCCGGGCAACGCCCGGGTTTTACCAGATTAAATGATTTTATTCAAATACTATTCGTTGCAATTATAAATTGGCGCCGTGGATGTCATTCTTGTATAATATATAAATGAGTTTTAAAAATTGTAAAAAAAAAAAAATGCATCGGCCGGGAATCGAACCTGGGCCGCCCGCGTGGCAGGCGAGCATTCTACCACTGAACCACCGATGGTTATGAGAAATGGCCATATTTGGGTAATTTTTCCTTTCACAAAACAAAAGCAAACGGTGACAGAATTGATTAAGAAAGAATTGATTATAACGCTGATAACTGCATATATTAATAGTGATTTTTATACAATACTAGCCGAATGACCGGGGCAACGCCCGTGTTTTACCCGATTGAATGTTTTGATTCAAATACTATTTGTTACAATTAAAAATTGGCGCCTTAAATAAATGCATATATTAGTTAATAACTATAGCCTATGTGCCTTATCTGTCTATGTACTGTTGGCTTCCGTAGGCGTCTCTTACTGGGAAAAAGAAAGAGAGGATTACATTTAGTTATTAACTAATATATGCATTTTTTTAAGGAGCGACCCGCTCCAACACAATAGTTACAAAAACCAAAAAGCGAGTGGGGGGGGGGGGGGCAAAGTCAAAAACAAAGTGTCTCGCGTAGTGGCGGCGCCATCGTAGCCACGTGATCGTAGCCAACCAATAGGAGAGCGCCATTCCAAAGAAAAAGCAAACGGTGACAGAGATGACGCATGACGCTCGTAACTGTATATAGAATAATGCGGCCTATGATTGTAGAACGACATTTGAAAATATCCCGCATGTGTTTCTTTTGAACGAAACATAGTTGAATAATAGCAAAATATAACGACGATTGAAGAAGAGTGCTGACAAGTGAGAGAACATGTGTAAACATTCCACCAAAATTTGTACAGAAAAACCTGCTGGTTTATAATATGCTTAGTATACACTTCACTGCGAACAACACTAAATTGGTTTCTACTCATATGTGTAATTTGAATGTTTGCAGTTATGCTTTATTGTTTAATTAGGTTGTGCTAATTAAGGATTCAATTGTACAACTGCCAACAATGAGCATTGTAGGGAGATATGTTTTACCACCAAAGCTTTAAGGAAGACATTTTCAAATCATTTCAAATTTGACATTATAAAGGTGGAAGACACTTGTATGCTCCGTTTAAAAACTTGCATAATTGCATTCAACAATTCTCCTCTACGAAATTCCTATGAAATATTGTATGTAAGCCATGTTCCAGATATGAGAAACTCCAGTACAAGATGGAAGTGACAATTTTTGACAATTAAAAATAGTTTATTGACATCTAGTCAACAGTCAAGAGAGAGTTTACTGAGTTTAAAATAGTAGAGAAAATATATACACCAGACGAGGCCTTCTCCGACGGTACATCTGGATCCTATCAAGGGAGCTTAGAATCGTCTTGAGTTCAGACTTGCGAGTTATGGAATCCGTGTCCCCAGCGATGACTGTGTTGAGGAACATGACAAGAATAATCTTGTGTTTAGGTAAGGTATCCGCGAGGAAACTCTCCCTAAGATGGGGGTACAGGACCGCATACATCATTAATGGTCATCCCTCGGTTATATAGGGGCCTAAGGATAGTTTCATCGTTCAGTTGTTCGATTATGTCCATTAACTGATTCTTACGTCCAATTTCCTACTCCTCCTGGAGCGTCGGGGCAGGTATTAGAGGCGGAGGGACTACTACGGCTGGAGCTGACTCCTCCTCATGGGGAGTATGGGCGCTGGTTCAGCAGGTTGAGGCGCAGATGCAAGTGGAGGACTATGACACTGGAAGATTGCTGTCAGGCTGATATGAAGAGGATTGACATAGTAGATATGAAGAGGATATGATATGAAGAGTATTGTCATAGTAAAGCCTGTAGAAGGACGTCCGAAAACTTGCGAATCAAGTTCATATGAGACACTACTTTCCAATCGTCGTTATATTCTTCTATTTTTATTTGAAGAGTTTAATTTAGTCGATGGTTGAATAATGCAACAGGTTTCTTGAGATGAGTTTCTCTCCATTATACTATTGTATTTATAGTATTGTATATTGTATTATACTATTGTATTTATAAGCTTTTCCGGGCATTTCTGTCTTTGTATTTCTTTATTTCGGCTCAGAGTCCTCCTACAGGAGTAAAATATGTACAATAATGAAGGGCGTTTTCATATATTTTAAGAGACGTTGCTTTTCTCACCTGTAAATACTAATTCTCTCTGGTCAACAATAAATATGGAGTTTACTAGCAGTAGGTCTTGCGTCAACCATTCTAATATGTTTTGTTACCTATGTGGTTAGTACACAATGCAAGATTTCTGGAAATCCATTACCGAATTTTAAAAAAATGTCTACCTGGTTTGCTTTAGAGTTGAATTAGAAGATCAAAATAAAACGTAAGCTACACATTTTGATTGTAAAGCTTGCATTGAATATTGGACGAATTGTAAAAAGAAAAAGCCATTAGTTCGGAGCGTCAATGATTTGAAGAGAACAAACAGGCCACAGTAATGATTGCTATTTCTGTACAGTAGACATTGTTGGTATAAACCGAAACAATCGCCACAAGTGGAATTATCCTCACCTGCTCTTTCTTCAATACGTTCGCTTTCTCATTCAGAAGACATAGCTATCCCAACTTCTCATGGCTTTCCACAGCTCTTCTATTATACTCTATAGTCTAAAAGTCAGTTGTTACTATTAATAGAGTAGTCAACTTTATATAGATATTTTTGTAATTTTAAAACAGAAAAAAAGTAGGTAAATTTCTTTGAATGTATAAATTGACCGTGATGTTCAATAAAAAAGAGTTTTGGATAGGTTTAGGACGGTTGATAATCGTCCTTAGTGCCTCTTCCTTGGAGTCACCGAGCTGTAGCTGGACACTAGATAAAGCTCTTATGTATATAATTGTTTATTTGGTTTGCATATTTTTTTATAAATTTATCTCATAATTTAGTCTGTGAAAATAAAAATATATGACTGGTGACGAAACCAAACTGTAAATAGATGGCTTAATGTTATATAGTTAAGATATATAATTAAGTGTGATGGTTATGTAATTTTGATCTTCATTGAATAAAATATATGAAGTTTAAATGTATTTTAAACTTTAATAACAAGTATGAAACAAGCTCGTCTCTCGAGGTAAAGAGAGACAGCATCAAATATTGAGAAGAAAGAGTAACTCCCCTCAATGTCAGTGTAGTTAGATGCTCTGTCCTTTCTTATATCGATCGTGGTGATGTCCCAGGTCAGCAACAGCCATCGCGGCCTATGCCCAAGGACTGTAGTGACCTGCGGACTGCAGGCTCCACTACAAACGGTGTCTATACTATCTACCCCCACGGTGGAACCAGGCCACTCACTGTCTACTGCGATATGGGTACCAATGGCCAAGCTTGGATTGTAAGTAGATTATGTAGTGCTCTCAGGTATCGACCTACGTTCTGTGGATGTAGGTGATACAGAGAAGAACACAAATCAACAATCCCCAGAACTACTTCCTGAGAACCTGGAAGGAATACAAACATGGCTTCGGGACATACAGCGGGGAATTCTGGCTGGGTGCGTAGCTAAATTATCTCTTTGTAGATGGCAAATTTGCCGGGAGGAAATTGATCCATAGAAACATAGAGCACCTCTCCCGTCAAAATAAACGATGGCATCAGGTTTCGACGTTTATTTTGACGGGAGAGGCGCCCTATGCTTCTATGGATTATCTCTTTGTATTGTGTTGTTTACCTATACTATACTATTGTCAAATTATATTGACAAACAAGCAGTTTTATCTTATCAGTTTTTAGCGGGTAGTAGGCTGTTTTCGTTTGTTACTAAACCGATCTCTCACGTCATTGGACCAATGTGGCCATGTTTGTATATAAGAGGGGGCTAAGGGAATACGGGAGAGGAGTGTGGTGGATTATTGTGTGGAGACGTTTAAAGTGTTCTCTGTGTGATTTATCCGTGTCTGGTGATCTCCTCACATACCTGTGTGACCCCGGTCTGATCTCTACCAACGTTACAATAAAAATACTGTTTTGTTTTTATATAGCAAATTGTGAGTTTCTATTTACCTCCTTTTTACTGTTGTTGCACTCTTGAGTGTACGCTTTTCTGTGTGTAAGTTACTCTTACTTTAGGCTCTTGTATATTGCATTTTTATGTGATAACCCGTACTAGTAACTTTTGTCACTATACGACATACAAGTATATCCATTATTATATATTCTCATTTATTCATTATTGTATTTATGACCTTATATAACTCATATGTTAAAATTCGAAACTATTATAGACGCGTAAGATTCTTTTAAAAATTAAACAAATTTCTACTGCCCTTACTGCAATGAAAAATTAATGGGAGGGCCTAGCTCCTCAGTGGTGAACCCTCCCAGCGGTTTCGCCAGTTTAACCGCTGGGAGGGTTCACCATTGATGAGCCAGGCCCTCCCATTAATATTCCATTGCAGTAAGGACAGTAGAAATTGTGTATTTAAAAAAGAATCATACGCGTCTATAATAGTTTTGAATTCTCTTAACAGATGGTGTGCTAGTGCATCATATTGTAACAAAGTATTTATTATTTTAGTAACAATCTTTTTTTATGTTTATACTAGACGAATAACCTGGCTTCGTCCGAGAATTCCCCCGAGTGTAATTTCCTTCCTACTGAAAGTACAACAATAATAAATAGTAGAAGTGCCATAGAATAGAAATACAGAAGTAACATATAAAGCACAGGCAAAAAGTGTGTGTGATAGCAAAAATTGTATTATATTAGTTGTTAGGTATTTGATTTAATTATTTTTTTCAATCCATTTAGTTGTTCCAAAATCAATATAGTTTATATAGATGGCAGCTTTTCCACCCAACCCCCGAAGTACCCGCCCCAGCGCATTAAACCTTGAAATTGCCT